TTTTTCTGGTCTCCTGCTGCCGTGTTTGGGCTTTAAAACGCACGTGGCTGGGTGGGCGTGGAGAGGGACACGGACAGAACGATCTCAGTGAGGTGAAGAGCTGCCTGTGGCTGACTCCAGCAGCCCTGTCGGCAGCCTGGCAGCTTATGGCATTCAGGTTTGGGGGGACAGATTCGTACCAGTTAAAATCACTCGGTTTTTCAGCCTGGGTATCTGGTGGTTTTTTGCCAGAGAGGAGATCCAGAAATAATGTTAATCAACTAAAACCCTACTTGCTGTCTTTAGGAGCAGTTCATGCGTGATGAAGTCGTTGCAGAACCTTTGCCAAACAAGGAGTTGGTTAAGTGCTGATAAATCCATCATGGACTGTTGCTGCTTTAGAGTGAGAAAGTATGGGGATGGCGACTTTGGAAAGAGATGAGGTCCTCCTCCTGGAAGTGCTTGCTGCTGTGGGATACAAGTGCAATAAGTGTCCGTCTTCTTAACGTGAATAAGAATTTGCTGGGACATCAAACACATGAATGGGTTTTGTTCCAAAGGGTTATACATTTAAAAAATATATATAAGTTGCTGTCTGTGTTCTAGAAGACTTGAGGGTTCTGATCCTAATTTACAGCAAGTCAATATACAGAAGAGGAGTGCAGAGTTTGTGAAATCGTAACATTTAGTCTAGCAGTGGCTTCTTAGCCTGTGGAGATAAACAGGCTTGGTGTGGGTGAAGTGGCTTAAATGCCAGCTGAAATGCTGGGGGACAAAATTTAGGAGTCCATAGGACATGATGCCATACAGAATTGACATGGTGCAGCATCTCCCAGGATTTGGGCTCATGTACTTCCAGCCCATACTGAATATGGAGAGAAAATAAGAGACCCAGAGCCAGTGTTTACTCAGTGTTGGTAAATTGTCTTTACTACTGCAGGCACAAGGAAAGTGTAATTGTCTTTATATCTGCAGTGGGGGCAACACGTGAATTTGGGCAGATCTGTTTCTTAAATTACTTCTAAAGTTGCTTTGAAACATCTTTGGTAGCTGTTACCAAATGGCTCTGACATAATAGTGATGCCCTTTTGTGGGTGTTGTGTGAAATGAAACAAAAGGAGTCAAACCTTTTACTCATGCACAGCTAGTAATGTGCAAGATTGTAATTTACTCCTGTTTTCTCAACAGCTTTGTGATTTGACTGTTGCAGCAGATATAAAATGGGCTGCAGCTCTTTGTGCCATTTGTAGTACATTTGCTGAATTTCTCAGCTGCCTTCTGTTGGGTTCTGTCACCTCCTGGATAAGAGATGCACACATTTCACTTAAGAAGGCATTTTTTAGGGTAGAAAAGTGTTGGGAGAACATACTCCACATGGAGTCCAAGACTACTTCTTGTATTACAAGCCACTGCACTTAAATATTTACTTAAAATTATGGTCATTCCTGTGTTTTAGTAGGATTTGACATCTATGAAGTTAAATT